TCTTTTAACAAGACTCTGTAAGTGTTTGGGAACTGAAGAGACACTGCTGTAGTTTTGAAAGTGAAATGTTTTCCCATTCTTGCTTTATATAGTATTTCAGCTGCTCAACAGTTCGGAGTTTCCTTTGTTATATTTTTCATTTCATAATGTGCCAAATTTTATCAGTGGTGGCAGGTCTGGACTACAGGCAGGCCAGTTTAGCACCCGGACTCTTTTAATATGGAGCCATGCTGTTGTAATACATGCAGAATGTGGTTTGACATTGTTTTGCTGAAATAATCAAGGCCTTCCCTGAAAAAGACGTCGCTGTATGGCAGCCTATGTAGCCAAAACCTGTATATATCGTTCAGCATTAATGGTGCCTTCACAGATGTGCACGTCACCCATGCCATGTTCACTAATGCACCCCTATACCATCATGAATACTGGCTTTTGAACTGTGCACTGATAACAAGCTGAGTGGTCTTTAGCCCGGAGGACACAGTGTCCATGACTTCCAAAAACATCTTCAAATGTTGATTCGTCGAACCACAGGAGATTTTTCCAACTCCCCTCAGTTCATTTTAAATGAGATGGGGCCCAGAGAAGGTGGCAGCATTTCTGGATCCTGTTTCTGTATTGGGTGAAGTTTATTTTTAAAGTAGTTTATTTTTAAAACTAGCATGCTGTTTTTTCCATGATAAATCTTTCATTCTTTACCAGATGTTTTTCTTTATTTTGGTCAAGAGCAATTATGTCTACAATTATTAGGGGTTGGAATCACTAATATGTTTATATACAGTTTCTTCTTTGCGTTTTAGAGTTTTAACTTGTATATGTGGATGTAGCGATGGACCGTTTTCACAGACCCATGCAGTGATTTCCACAACAGAATCATGTCTGTTTTTAATGCAGTGCCACTTGAGGGCCCAAAGATCATAGCCAGCAAATACTGCTTTCTGCTCTTGTCCTTTGCATACAGAGATTTCTCCAGATTCTCTGAAGCTTTTAATGTTATTATGTATCGTAGATGTTGATAGGCAAAAGTTTTTGCTTTTTTATGTTAAGAAACGTTATTCTTGAATTGTTGCACTAATTGTTCATGCATTCTTTGACAGAGTGATGAATCCCTCCTCATCTTTACTTCTGAAAGACTCAGCGTCTCTGAGATGTTCGTTTTATACTCAGTCATGTTAATGACCTGTTGCCAATCAACCACCAGGTGTTTTTTTTTAGCATTTTTAGCAACCTCACCATCCTTTTGTTGCCCCCGTCCCAATTTTTTCTGGTTTCAACATTTTAAATGTTGTCTTTGTACTACTTTCAATTAAATATAGGATTTAAATGATTTGCACATCATGGCATTTTTTTGGAAAAGAGGTTGTACTTTAACACTTCCTTCAGTCACAATTAGGAATAATCTTTATGGTAATCAAATGTAATGACTTAAGGCCAGTGATTATTATATATATAATGGTATATTAATGAAGTGAAATGAACTGAAATGGCACATAAAGGATGACATTTAACTTTTAGAAGAAAAATAAGGGTGTTTGTCACAGAAGGCTGAGGCTGACTGAATAAACAATATATACATAAAAGGTACAAAAGTGTTAGTTATAGTAGATCAGAGTGCAGTCAGAGTTGCATATGACTGTAAGACAGATCTGGTGAGATGAGGTAATGAAGGTGGGTAACCTCTCCAGAGCAGTATAAAAAGGTTTGATTGTTCCTGTTTTTTTTTTTTTTGTTGTTGTTGTTGTTGTAGCCCCAAGCAACTCAGATGAACACTCATCTGTGAAGCCTTCATCTTTAATAAAAGATTGTACTTTTCTCTGCCATTCTTTTTGTTTAACTGTTTTCTGTTTTGTATTGGGTTAAGTTTATTTTTGCTGTTTTTTCCATGACAAATCTTCCATTCTTTACCAGATATTTTTCTTTATTTTGGTCAAGGCCAATTATGTCTACAATTATTAGGAGTTGGAATCACTAAAAGCCTTTAGATATGATATTGTTGAGATATTTGACAGCTAACAAGGAATAAAAAAGGTAGAAGAAAGAAAAAAGAAATTCATGCTTATTACAGAAAAAGAAGAGAAACCTCTATAGTAACTAAACTATAAGAGCTCTGTGTGTGTTCAGTGAGCTTCTGTGAGCTTCAGCACACACACTGCTGCCATCCAGTGACTAAAGGACGTTACTACACTTACAATCATTTAAAGACTTTGTTTTACATTTGGCTAACTGGAAAAAAAATAATCACTAGATTCTCTCTTTATGATCCACAGACCACTGACAGCTTAAGCAGCTGATGATCATCTCAGACCTACAGCCAGATCCAAAACCATAAACCCCCAACGTAAACAACACAATACGCAACATGAGCTCAGTGGACTGGTTTATTATCTTGTTTATTATCAGTTTTCAAGTAACTTGTTCTGTTATAATAGTCAGACATTTCTGCATGTTGCTGATTATTTAAACATCAGACTTCTATTATGCGCACAAAAGCTACTGGAGTTCTAACAGCTCCCCCTTGTGGAGAATCTAAAGCCTGATAAACATGAATGAGTGGGTGAATGAGTGAATGACTGTGAGTGAATGAGTGAGTGAGTAGGTGAGTGAATAAATGAGTGACCGAGTGGATGAGTGAGTGAGTAAATGAGTGAGGGAGTGGGTGAGTGAGTGAATGAGTTAGTAAATGAGAAACTACTTTAGTTAGGAATAGTGTTTAATATGACTGTACATCTAAATATCACACTGAAGAGTGACAGCACTGAAAAAGGAAAGTAAACAAACTGTCTGAAATAATGATGTATTGCATTAAATGATATTCAGTTGTCAGTGTGTGGAAATGAATGCAGTGTCTCCCTCTTTTTGTCTGCATGTTGGTAAGTGGATTAAAAATGTCTTCACTGGTTAATGACTGTGCTGGAACGTAAAATAAAGATTGTTTTGATAGAGTTTAAATATTGTAAATATAAATGTAATTATTAGGGCTGGATAATAAAATAATACAATACAATATTTTGGGGAGGACAAATGATTTACTTTTTAAATAGTGATGTTTTCAACATCTATTAAACTCATTGGTAACTAATAGGAAACTCAAATTTATTGTTTTCTTCATCCACAAGATGGAGCTGAGGAGGCTTTTTTGGTTTTATGGTGAGATCCAGGCCTCTATCAGTGGTGGTTAGGGAGATTAGATAAGATTAGATCTGATTCTTTGTTGTCTTTTGAGTTTGTTGCAGTCAACCTTTTTAGTGATACTTCTGTGTTAGTAATTGTAATATACAGACTTCCAAAGCAAAATAGTAATTTTTTGGCAGAAATTGTGGAATTAATACAAGCTGTGATTAATTCTTCTCTCTGAGGACTTTACCTTGCATATTGATAATCCATCACACAGTAATGCAATAGAATTAATAAGACTTCTAGAGACATTTGAAGCAGCACGTGGGCAGCTCTACCCGCAAGCTGGGTCTGGTCATCACTAAAGGTTTAAACACAAATGTATCCCGAATCTCTGATGTTTTCATATAAGATCATTTCTGTATTTTTTTTTCAAATCAATTTATGAGTAAAGAAGAAAGTGTCTGAAAGTTATTTTAAAAAGTGTTACATTGACTCAGAAACAGTTGAGAAGTTTAAAAGCATTTATAAAAGTTCAGCGAATACAGATCGGACTCCATCCTGTTATGATCTGGTCTCTGATCTAAATGCTAGATTAAAGGAAACCCTTGACATTCTCGCTCCAGTCAAATGGAAGAAAAACTCACATGCTCATAAAAATCCATGGATGAATGCAGAAAAACACCAGCTCAAGAGAAACTGTCGCAAACCAGAGCGCTTATGGAGGAAAACTAAACTGCAGGTACATTATGATTTTCTCAAAGGGCAGATCTCAGTCTATAAGAATGCTATGAAAACATTCAGACAGTCATTCCTCTCCAGTGTAATTAATAAACACAAAGATCATAAAAAAATCCTTTTTCCACCATAGACTGACTAATTAACCCCAAATTTTCACAGCTATGCTAATGACACCCACTTATACATTTCCATTCCTTCTGATGATCAAGACTTTGTAGACAGACTGATCAGCTGTGTGTCAGATATTTCTCAGTGGATGTCAAAATTTTCTACAACTAAATCATAAAAAACTAAAATGCTGATCTTGGTAGTAAAACTCAAAGAAAGCTGCTTTATAAGAAGCTCAGCTCTTTAGCTTCACATACCAAACCTGAAGTACGAAACCTGGGTGTGATCTTAGACTCTCTGTTTTATCCCGCATGTAAACGCAGTCACTAAAGTAGCTTTTTATCATTTGAGAAATGTGGCTAAAGTTTAGCCTTTTCTTTCTCAGAATGACGCAGAGAAACTTGTTCATGCATTTGTTACAAGCAGAATTGATTATTCTTATTATTATGTTTAAAGCGTCATTCAAACACTGGAGCAGGAAAAACACTAAAGTAAGACACCAGCTTGCTGGTCCAAAAGAACACATGAAACTCAAACTCATAAGTTTATTTCTTATTTAGCATGTTAATATGCTGGTGATTTCTACTCAAAATTAGATTTTGGAATATATTAAATACATATTTACTGGATACATATTTAGTAAGTGCGTTTTTATTTTTGTTTTGGTTTATTAATTATACCATTTTTATTATTGATTTTTTTGACTATTTTTTCATGTTTGTAGCCACAGATTGTTCATTAAAACAGTTCTGTAGTTATTATATAATACCTAGAATAACTTACAGTATTTTTACTTTTAGTACTTGAGTATGTTTTGTCTTTGGTACTTAGAAAAAAGAAATGTGAGCTAAAATAGCAGTTTATACTCAACTCTTTACAGATTAAAGGCTAATTTAACTGAATTCTGCTGCTTCTATTTTGCTGGACTGAAATCCCTGACTGTGTCTTTAATGGTCAGTGTGTAAGCGGTTATTAAAGGGGATGAATCACTGCTTTAGTCTAAACACAGAAGCTCATCAAAGATAGAATAATCCTACCTGAAACACTCAGCTGGATGATGAGTGATAATATCCCACATTCAGAGCTCACGATTCCACTTTCACTGTAAACACACAGAACAGTAATTCATCATATCAGCTTTTACAGTCTGATGGTAAAACTAAAAATCTGAGAGAACATTTAAGACGAAAATCTTTACTACTTACATTCATCTGTAAAGTCTTCTCACAGCTGTGTAACTGAGTAGACAGTGCAGAGTGTGTGAGCAGTGTGTGTGTGTGTGTGTGAGGGTGGAATGAGTGTTCAGTGTTTCATGCAGTTGTTTTACTGATTCTTACTCAAAGATTTCCTTCCCTTTTTCTCTGTACTCACAGTTCAACAGTCACAAATGCTCTAATATAGGACTGTATTTATGTGCTGCTGTGTTTTAACATCACTTCACATTAGTAGGAATTAACAATGCTAAACTAAATACACACTCTAGAAAAATAAACACACTAACATATAATACTAGTATGTATATATATTTATACACACATACAGTGGGGCAAAAAAGTATTTAGTCAGCCACTGATTGTGCAAGTTCTCCTACTTAGAAAGATGAGAGAGGTCTGTAATTTTCATCATAGGTACACTTCAACTATGAGAGACAAAATGAGAAAAAAAAATCCAGGAAATCACTTTATAGGATTTTTAAAGAATTTGTTTGTAAATTATGGTGGAAAATAAGTATTTGGTCAATAACAAAAGTTCAACTCAATACTTTGTAACATAACCTTTGTTGGCAATGACAGAGGTCAAACGTTTCCTGTAAGTCTTCACCAGGTTTGCACACACTGTAGCTGGTATTTTGGCCCATTCCTCCATGCAGATCTCCTCTAGAGCAGTGATGTTTTGGGGCTGCCGCTGGGCAACAAGGACTTTCAACTCCCTCCACAAATTTTCTATGGGGTTGAGGTCTGGAGACTGGCTAGGCCACTCCAGGACCTTGAAATGCTTTTTACGGAGCCACTCCATCGTTGCCCGAGCGGTGTGTTTGGGATCATTGTCATGCTGGAAGACCCAGCCACGTTCCATCTTCAATGCTCTCACTGATGGAAAGAGGTTTTGGCTTACAATCTCACGATACATGACCCCGTTCATTCTTCCCTTAACACGGATCAGTCGTCCTGTCCCCTTTGCAGAAAAACAGCCCCAAAGCATGTTTCCACCCCCATGCTTCACAGTAGGTATGGTGTTCTTGGGATGCAACTCAGCATTCTTCTTCCTTCTGGATCATCCATATGCTCTCTGGCAAACTTCAGACGGGCCTGGACATGTACTGGCTTAAGCAGGGGGACACGCCTGGCACTGCAGGATTTGAGTCCCTCTCGGCGTAGTGTGTTACTGATGGTAGCCTTTGTTACTTTGGTCCCAGCTCTCTGCAGGTCATTCATCAGGTCCCTCCGTGTAGTTCTGGGATTTTTGCTCACCGTTCTCATGATCATTTTGACCCCATGGGATGAGATCTTGCGTGGGGCCCCAGATCGAGGGAGATTATCAATGGTCTTGTATGTCTTCCATTTTCTTACAATTGCTCCCACAGTTGATTTATTCACACCAACCTGCTTGCCTATTGTAGATTCACTCTTCCCTGCCTGGTGCAGGTCTACAATTTTCTTCCTGGTGTCCTTCGACAGCTCTTTGGTCTTGGCCATGGTTGAGTTTGAAGTCTGACTGTTTGAGGCTGTGGACAGGTGTCTTTTATACAGATAACGAGGTCAAACAGGTGCCATTAATACAGGTAATGAGTGGAGGACAGAAGAGCTTCTTAAAGAAGAAGTTACAGGTCTGTGAGAGCCAGGAATCTTGCTTGTTTGTGGGTGACCAAATACTTATTTTCCACCATAATTTACAAATAAATTCTTTAAAAATCCTACAAAGTGATTTCCTGGTTTTTTTTTTTTCATTTTGTCTCTCATAGTTGAAGTGTACCTATGATGAAAATTACAGACCTCTCTCATCTTTCTAAGTAGGAGAACTTGCACAATCAGTAGCTGACTAAATACTTTTTTGCCCCACTGTATACACACACACACACACACACACACACACACATATATATATATATATATATATATATATATATATTATATATATATATATATATATATATGATGCAAAACTTGTGTGTAAGTTTTAAATTGTCCACAAAACCAAGACTACAACATCCATAATACTTTGCTGAAACAGGAACATGCAGTGGACAGCAGTGGGAGGAGCTTTTTTCTGTCATCTACCTACCACACACACACATGCACACACACACACACACACACACACACAGTGTCCTGATAGTAGAGCTGAATTACTGAAGAACTCCAGTAGATTTACTCATTTAGAGTAACTCACTCTTCAGAATGTAGTGATTTAATGTTCACGTCAGTCTGAGTGTGTAGATTTCTCCTACAGTGTGGCTTCCTGTAGTTGTGACATTGCACACATAAACCCACACAATTACACAATCATTTCCTTTACACTGTGACCAGACAGTGGACTCTTCTCTTTTTATTGTGTTTTGGGAAGGTGAGTGTCGGGTCATTTGATTTTGTGATAAAAAGCACTTTAAAATGCTATAAAAAAAAAAAAATCTGTTCAGCTCAGTGATGTCAGTGGTAGATTCCACCCCCTCCCCATGTCAAGCTCACTCCTACTTCCTGACCGTCCACTTGAACTGGTTTGCTTTATTAGCTAAAAAGAAGAGAGAGTAAGACACAGAGGAGGCAACAACTCTCCTCTATTGAAGCACCAGCAGAAAGACACATACAGAACACTGAACCTGAAGGGGAGGTCACCACTAGCCATACACTCCAACCTGACAGTGACCCCCCACCCACACACAAAACACACTGACAACCCACATCCCCCCACAATAAATAACATAATGAACACATTCACATAACTTTAACTGACGAACAACAACAAACAACACAAATAGTCTATTTTAAGGAGGACACGTCTCCCACGATCCTCCTGGTGTGGCCGTCAGCATCGCCACACTTCCCGACCTTCTAGAGGTCAGTGCCAGCAGGTAGCAGGTCACTACAATGTATTATTTTTCAGGGTGTGGATTTGGCTAAAGAGGGAGGTAAAAAAGTGTCATAAAGTAAATCAAACTGTAATATTTTATTTTAACCTCACAAAAGTAACGGAAGTCCTTTCACAAATGATCCGTTTAATAACTGCTGGACTGATGGACCACGTTATGTGATAATCATAACTCAATGCTACAGTTATTAACTATGAGATGCTTTTAGAGGTCTTCCAATCAGAGTATGAAGCCAGCTTTACTGAAATGACATTTGGAAACTAAACATGCAAATCTGGTCACAAAACTATTTCATTTAAAAAATGTTTTATTTAATGTTCTGCTACTTAAAATCTGGAAGCGTATTTAAAGCAGATTTACCACTATTTTACAATTATCAATATTACATATAACAGCTCAGAAGACATGTGTAGGTTCATTGGTCATTTTGGACAGTAAATAAAATGGCTGTGTTTGTGTTGTAGACAGTACGTCTCCTGGTTCCTGTCACCACCACTGTAAAGAGTCCTCTCAATGAGTAAATGAAGCTGAAATTTGGAAAACTGGTAGAATTGCACTTTGAGTTTACATTTGGGTCACACCACTCTAACTCATTCAGAGCCTTTCCCGTCACATCATGAATTTCCATTAAAAGATTCAAGCAAAAACTTCAAAGTTCAGTGGGTGATGTGATAAATACAAAAGAACAGACCCCTGTAGGTCAGTGTAAAACTCCAACATTTTAGACATACAGACAGATTGATTTACCCATCACACTGTTTTATTAGTAGATAGTCATTAGATATTAGTTTAATTAGCAGCTAATTAGCTAAATTCCAGTTTCTAAGTTAGCTCTGTCAGTAATCTAACATTCTTTACCAGATACTTTTCTTTATTTTGGTCAATTATGTCTATAAATAATTACTAGCAGTGGAAATCTCTAGAAACCACTAAAGTTGATATTGTGATATTTGACGTCTAATAAGAAATAAAAAGGGAGGGGAAAGGAAAAAATCATGCCTGTTACAAAGGAGGGAACTTTTGAGAGAACGTCTCACAAACATTTTCTTTTATTGGTGACCATGATTTCTTAAATAGTTCCCACGATTAAAATAATGTTCTCTCATTTTCTTTTATTCGCACACGTTTTCTTTTTTACTTGTGTGCACATTTTTAATGCAGTAGATACAGGCCGTTTTATTTGTTCTGTACAAACATAGCTTCCCGACACTGTCTGATGGGTTCTGATGTGTTACATTGGTGTGACAATGGACAGAGATGCTCATCAGGTCTGATTCTGATTTGCAGCTGCAGTTTGGTGGTGAAATGAAGGAAGACAATAAACTACAACAGCCTTCACTAAACTGCACTTTCTAATAATTATATGTAAAAGAGATGAAGCCACAATGCAGCCGCTTATCACAGCTGCAGTGTTAGGAGCCTCATACACGCTTACAGGAAGAAATGATCAGCGTCAACGTTTCAACATTGATTTAACATTCAAATGGTGAGAGAGTTTAATTGATTTGTTGGCCTATTAGAACCATTAGCAAATAAATTACTTCACTATTTACCTAAATAAGCCTAAATAAGACCAGTATATCAGGATTAAATATCTGCAGGGGCGTCACAAGAGCTTCACGGATGGGGGCTTTGCCTGTACCAGGGGGGTCTAGGGGCACGGTCCCCAAAGAGAATTTTTTAATGGCCCTAAAATGTTTATAAAGCACCTTTACAGTAACAACAGCCAGAAAACGCCAAGTACATCAGACGTGTTAAGTATAACAAAAAATGGTTATTTTGTCAAATTGGCACACAGCAGATCTGTCTGCCCATAGTTTGTACTGAGTACAAAGCTAGTATAAAATCACTGTATTCATCCAAAACAGGCACAGATCAAGCAAAGGTACTGAGGTCCAGCAGTGCTGTCTCCTCTCTCTCTCATAAACTGTGAGGTCTTAAATACATCATTCGAACACCCAGATTACAGTTCAGTCTCAGTTGGTACAGTCAGAAATAGTGATTTTGCTCTGTGGGCATGTTTAATAAGCTAGGTGACAGAATTTGATGGTCATGGTGACAAATATTATATTTTTTCAGTTAAATAAAAATAAATTAAGCATTCATTTTACCCAAAAGCTTAAAGTTCTTCATGATCACTAACCTCCATCAGATCTGCTCCTTCAGGCCTGTCCATCTCCTTCAGCTTCTTTCTCTCTC